CATTTCCAACAAGCCTGAGCTCATTAAAATGAATCCAAATGCCTGGTTTCTCTTTCTTAATGGGATTTTTCCATCATGGCTGAATAAGTGGACATCCAGTAGTGCTCAGTGTATCAAATATTAAAGGCATTCAGAATATCTCATGTTTCCGTCATTCTATAAAAACAGCTGCTTTTAAAAGCTGATCCAATCAAAGAAACATGAACTTCCATATTGATCAGATCAATATGTACAGCTCTGATGTCACTTACATGTCTTTGAACTTTTCATGGATGGTGATTTGTGGCCCTCTGCTGGTGAGAAGATGAACTGCATGATGTCAGTTGAATGAACACAGATGACATGAAGTGTTTTTAAATCTGGTTTCATCAGCTTCAACAAACTCTGACTTTCAAAATAAAATCAGTTGATGTGACTGTTTTTGAAAGCTCTTATTTTGGAGGGAGCTGACATTTAATAATCAAATGTCAGTGTGGACACAGTATCTGAGCAGCGATAGCAATACATTTACAGAGCTGTAACTCAGACTAAACACATGGTCGGAGACTCGCTGTGCTTCGGGTCTTTATATTTACAGTCGAACCCTCACCACCCGCTCTGCTCATCTCAGTGAGCTAAACCAGTGCTACCATTAAGAAAACAAATATTATCGATCATTTTCAGAATAAGAGTGGAGATTACAGTTGTTTCAGGACAAACTGCCATGGTTTGAGTTGAGTTGAGTTGTCTGAGTTGGACAAATCCTACTTCAGAATTGATTTTATTTGCAAGAAAATGAGTTATCTTTTCACTAACTCATCTACTGACATGTTCAGATTTTTCAGAAAGAATTCAGGAGAAATATCTTTAATTTAAAAAGATTTAATTTGCTTCAGCAGCTGAAATTACAAGTTACAGCGGTGGACCTCTGTGTTAAATCAAACATCTGTCTTCACACAAAGGATGACCCTCATCGGGCCATAAAGCTTATATAGTGTGACAATAACAAATGATTATTATGTCTGTCAAACTCTGGAACCCATCCTTATGTCTCCATTCGACCTCCTCTTCAAACTGTTCCCAGCAGGTTTTTGCAGTGCACAGTTTAGGGTAAATAGTCGTCCGCACGGCACATTACAATGTCACTAAATTACCATTAAAGTGCTTTATTGCAACGACTGCAGATCAGTGACAAGTAGCATACAGAAACGGAGCTGGGCAAGTGGCTCCTCCTCCTTTGCACGCTCTCATAAATGGGGCAACAGTTTTTGGCACGAAACTGGAGGTCACGATCCTGGGTCTTTCGACCCAGTGTTTTGAGTTATACTTTATTTTGTGTCAGCTGTTTCCCCATGTTTCCACTTCCCCTAATCACCCCTGTGTGTATTTAGTCTGTGTGTTTCTGCTCATTCATTGTCATGTCGTCTGTTGTTTCTCCTCATGTTTCCGTGTCTACGGGTTTTTTTCTGTGTTCAGGTTTTTACGACATTCTAAGTTTTGTTTTTTCGTTGCGTGTTTAGCATTTAGTTTCTCCCCTGTGTGTATCTGATTTTTGTTTTTCCACCTTTTTTATCAGCCATATTAAACAGCCTGCTTTTTGTTAATATTCAAGTTTTCTTCCACGTTCTTTGTGTCTGCATTTTAGGTCCTTTCATCAATGCATACACTCTGCCTCTGCCAGACTGTGAGACTGGAAATAAAAACACACACAGTTTGTTGTGTGAAAAAATCAAACATGAGCTGAACAAACAGTAAAGTTCGTAAATAAAAAAAGTTCACATGCTGGTTAGTTTTTCACCTGTGTTTACGTCCAAAGCTCTACCAGTCTGTACACATCTGTATGTTTCATGTTTGTAGAAGTCCTTCAGTCACAACATGGTTCATCTTCATCTTTACAAGCTAGCCAGCTAACTTTCTGCTAGCCTCTAATTTAGCTCGTAAATGCTCTTTTTCATGACGTGTGTACATTTAATACTTTTATTGGAGCTGAGTGAATTTGGAGTGTTTCATGGGTTTGCCTGATGTCATTAGCCAGTAACTAGACACTCTAAGTACTTGGACACACTGTGAGCTCATATAAAAGGAGCTACAAAGTGCCCTCTATGGATTAGATAGTCCACTTCTCCTTTATGTAGAATCCACCCTCCTTTGCAGGAATTATCGCCCCCTGCTGGTCAGAGGATGGACTGCTTCAGTAATCTCAAGGCTGAACACACTGATGGTAAAGAATCCTGTAATTTTCTCATGAATATATGAAATAAGTTAAAAATGCAGAATTGATTTGATGTTTTATGGATCATAAAGGCAAATGCAGATCAATGTTATCAATAATCAAAGAAACTAAATATGTTAAACTCTAAATGTGATCAGTTCTGATGATCAGTACCATTCATCCATAAAATCAATACATGGATCAAATAAGAACAGGGTTTGATTTTAAAATTTATTGATCGTATCAGCAGTGATACAAACACAAGTTCAATAAACAGCTGACCAAAGTCTATAGAAGCTCAGTGGTGCCAGAATTAAACATAAAATTAAAAAGTGAATTGTCTGTCTGAGCCAATCAAATTGCGTCAGAGGAGATTAAGTTTAGAAATGGTTTTAAAGTTAATAGATTTTATTTTGAAATAAAGTTTTTATATCTGTCTTCTGTCAGTCACCAAAAGTTGATTCTGTTCATCTGGACTTTTTCAGTGGGAGAAATGTTTCATCCAAGTGACTTCTTCAGTCTCAGCTGACTGCAGGTTTCAATCTTATAAACAGGACATTTGCATAATGACTGAAACCAGCCCAGTGAAGGAACAATGGGCTGGGAAGTCAGTTCCTTGATCATTAATATGCAAATACTCATGATCATTGATCAAAGCCCACTGATCAATGGCCATGAGTCCCATTCACAGAGAGTTGGGGAATGGCTGCAATCACAGCATTGTAAGATGGTGACATATGTACCCTTAAGCCCCTCCTCAATTCAGAGATGGTCTTTCCCTTTTCACGTAAATGGCCTCCTTGACTCCGCCCTCAAACCAGCGTTCCTCCCTGTCCAGGATGTGTACATCCTCATCATTGAAAGAGTGTCCACTGGCCTGTAGGTGTGACTAGACTGCAGAGTCTTGCCCTGACGAGGTGGCTCTTCAGTGTTGTGCCATCCGCTTCGCCAGAGGGTGTCTGGTTTCCACGATGTATAAGTCCTGGCAATCCTCCTGGCACTTAACAGCATACACTATGTTACTCTGTTTGAGTTGGGGGACCGATCGTTGGGGTGGACCAATTTTTGGTGCAGCGTGTTTTGGGGTTTAAAAGCCACAGAGACCCGGTGTTTAGAAAAAATGTGTCTCAGTTGTTCTGATACTCCTGACACGTACGGGATCACTACAGGTTTTCGCTTAGGCACTGATTGCCCTTCTCTCCTGGATCGGCTGGAGCTTTCTTTCGGTGCCGTCCCAGCTTTGACAAATGTCCAGCTAAGATAACCACATTTACTCAGCGCCTTCTTGATGTGATGTTCTTCTGCCTCCCTGGCTGCTGTGTCAGTGGGGATGGTGTTCACTCTGTGTTGTAGCGTCCTGATGACACCCAGTTTGTGCTCCAGTGGATGATGAGAGTCAAACCTTAGATAATGGATTGGATTTATATAGCGCTTTTCAAGGCACCCAAAGCGCTTTACAATTCCACTATTCATTCACTCTCACATTCACACACTCGTGGAGGCAAGCTACAGTTGTAGCCATAGCTGCCCTGGGGCAGACTGACAGAAGTGAGGCTGCCATATCGCGCCATACTGATCCCTACACGTAGGTTTCCGGTACACATTAGCTTTTAGATGTCCCCCATTACTGATGGAAATGTCACAGTCTAAGAAGGCTAACCTGCCACTTTTCATATCCTCCCTGGTGAATTTGATGTGTCGGTCCACCGAGTTAATGTGATCCATGAATTGTGGTATGTCCTGAAATTTGATTTTCACCCAGGTGTCATCCACATGCCTGAACCAATGACTTGGTGGTGTTCCAGGGTAGGATAGCAAAGCCCTCTTTTCCACTTCTTCCATGTACAAATTGGCCACAGCGGGTGAAACTGGGGAACCCATGGCACACTGACCCTTGTATGTGAAATATGTGGAAAATATGATCCCTGATGCTGAGAGTGGTCGTGTTGCTAAGGTTGGTGTCATCCTGTAATCTCTTACTACCTCCAACGCTTCCGTGACTGGGATGCAAGTGAAAAGAGATGTAACATCGTACGAGACCATGGTTTCATCTGCCTCCATAATGACATCTCTCACCTTCTCAACAAAATCCAAGGTGTTCTGGATGTGGTGTTCAGAGCTGCCCACCAGCGGGTTGAGGATCGAAGTCAGAAACTTTGGGTTGTTATAGGTGACCGAGTTGATCATACAGACAATCGGTCTTAAAGGTGCATCCTGTTCATGTATCTTCGGTAAACCATACAGACTTGGTGTTGATCACCCTGGGTACAGCCTGTGGTATGAGATCAAGTCCATAGCATTGTCTTGTTCTAACTGCTTCAGACAGACAGTCTACTTCATGGGCCTCATTTCAGGGGCTCATAAGTATTTTTGTCACTGAGTAGTAACAAAATTTTCTCATGACAGTCTTTCTGGTTTAGCAATACTGTGCACCTGCCCTTGTCTGCCGGAAGGATGATGATTTTGTTGTCATCACTAAGTGATGTGAGTGCCTTCCTCTCCTCCATGCTGATGTCGGATGCTGGGGGCTTTGCGTTGCTGAGACAAGCCGAAACTTTGTCAGTGTTAAAACGAAATATTTTGGATTCATACATTTTTAAACATTTTCATGTTACTTCATTCCCATGTAATTCTCTCCAGCTGCCTCTGAGCTTCAAAGAAATATTGTAATGACTGTACATTTGAATATTCATTTAGTTTGGTACGTACTTTTTCACGTTTTCTCATATTTTGTCTAAATCTACCAGCTGTAATCATGTGTTATGTTTCTAACACATAAGCAGCAGCAGTTACAGATAAAAGTTGCTCTTTGAGTTGCTCTATGATGAAGGCTTCATGACGAAGAGGAGCAAGCAGCAGCTGCTGAAGGTCTGTTTCTGCTTCAGAACATGTTGCTGGATTTCCACTGAGTGCCGTTAGCTTCTGAAACAAGAAATGCTCATTAACACGGTTCTTCGCTGTTAACGAACACGCATCACAACTTTGTAATGTCATGGCCTGGAACGTGACTGTAACATGTTTCAGCTTCTTCACTTTAAACGTGCAGAAAGCAACGTGAGTGTGTTTCTTACTCTGAAAATCCTGTGTCGACTTTTTTCTCTGAGTTCCTGAAACCTGCAAAGAAACATGGAAGTTTTTAACTTAGTCCTGAGTGATGTTAGAAAGAAACTGTTTCCATGCAGCTAACATGGCATCCAGTCAACCGTCTACCTCTGAAAACCAAAACCTGCAGTTCCTCTGGTGTCCACTAGAGGCTCCAGCAGTGACTCAGTCCTCATATACTCCCATGTTAAAATTAGGGATGGGTACCGATATCCAGTGCATTATTTCTCTTCAGTAACTCAGTAGTCTATCTATGGGCAGAAATCTGTGCCATCAGAAACTGAATTTGAATAAGTTCAATTTGAATTTGAATTGCTCAGATTGAATCTGAATTGTAACTTGAATAAATGCTTTTGAAAACTGAATTTGAATTAGTCTAATTTGAAATTGAATTTATGGTTTGAAAATGATCATCACTAAATTGAAATTGAATTTTATATTTTGAAAATGAATTGATTTGCTTTGAAACTGCATTTTATCCTTTAAAAATTCAGCTCTCGAATAATTTCAGTTTCACTTCTCACCATTCAGTTTCAGTTCTACAATTCAATTTCAGTTCCAAAATTCAGTTTTTTGGAACTTACATCCGGTTCCGGTTCAAGCGCAGATTAATAGAACTACGTTTTACTAGCGGACCGAAAGTGTTACCGACGGGAATCTACAGCGTCTTGAGCTGAATTAAGACTTCAGAAGTCATTCGTCATGTCGAATGACCAGCGGATGAACTCCCACCACCAGTGGTCAGAGGGCCCAAAAAAAAAAATCTAATTAAGCATGCACTCAGTACCCTAAGAATTATTATGGTAGTTAAACACAGTGATAGTTGTATATCACATTATATCACTTCAAACAGAGGTGATCCAGTAATGCTGCACTAATGAATTAGACTAACTATTCACTTTAGCTAAAGTTATTAAGTTAGCTAAAGAGTTGGGATGCTGTGTAAGACATAAATAAAGCTAAAATACAAAGGTTTGGACACCGTTTTGCATGTTTCCCTACTGTAGGGGTCTCTGCAAGCATACAGAGGGGGTACTCTGAGAGGGTCCAAGATGACAACTTTGGAATTCTACTAGAAACAGTCGATCATATTTGTTTGTCAAAGCTGAATTCAGGGCAAACTACGCTAAATTAGCGTTTTTAGCTAACAGCTACAATAAGCATAACAGTTACTGTACGGCTATCATTTGTTAACATGACGCTTGTTCTTATACATGTAATACATTTATTACCAACCTGAGAGTTTATCCGCTGGTCATTCGACATGACGAATGACTTCTGAAGTCTTAATTCAGCTCAAGACGCTGTAGATTCCCGTCAGTAACACTTTCGGTCCGCTAGTAAAACGTAGTTCTATTAATCTGCGCTTGAACCGGAACCGGATGTAAGTTCCAAAAAACTGAATTTTGGAACTGAAACTGAATGGTGAGAAGTGAAACTGAAATTATTCGAGAGCTGAATTTTTAAAGGATAAAATGCAGTTTCAAAGCAAATCAATTCATTTTCAAAATATAAAATTCAATTTCAATTTAGTGATGATCATTTTCAAACCATAAATTCAATTTCAAATTAGACTAATTCAAATTCAGTTTTCAAAAGCATTTATTCAAGTTACAATTCAGATTCAGTCTGAGCAATTCAAATTCAAATTTAACTTATTCAAATTCAGTTTCTGATGGCACAGATTTCTGCCCATATCTATGCTCTGAGTTTCCCTTCAAAAAGGTTACACTAGAAAAGTGATGACCGTCTAACAGCTGAAGCCCGATAACTTTTTTATTTGTTCCTGTGAGTGAGCACACGTTAATGTAACCTTGACATCATTTCCTCACACACTGACCTTCTTCTTGGATCCGGCGGCGCTCAGAGCAGCGATTTTACTCTCAATATCAGAGACCTGCAGATGGAACAAACATGAAGGGAAACTGTTGAGTTTGCTTATTAAAAACAGGAAGACTTGAAAAGCTTCCTGTAAGTAAGAAATTTGTGTTTATTCCAGCATCAGCCATTTTGTTCCTAGACACCGCGTAAACATGACCATGTCCATCCAGAGCCATTGACCCACCTCGCTCTCAGCACTCTGGACTCTGGCGGCGGTCAGTGCCACCACATCCTCAAGCTCAGACAGTTCCGAGTCCGTCGCCCCTCCAAACTGATTCTTGGCACTTTGCTCGAGCCGCCGCAGCTTCGACTCCAGCTCGTAGGACTGACCGGCCGTGATGTACACCTAAACAGGTAACAGGACAGACCCCTGGGTCAGCTGACACGCCTCCAGACCACTGAAAATGATGGTGATGATGATGAAGACAGGCCTGAGCATCAGTGAAACACACTGGTTCTCTGACTGACTCAATCACTGAACAGGTAACAGGAGAAGACCTGGTCTCATCAGAGGATGTAGAGTTCAGTCATGACATTATGACCTGATGATGAAACTAGAACAAATCCCTTATATTGTACACATTCTCCTAACGGGTCATTTTTACTGATAGCTTTAAGGCTATTGAACAATAATGAGCATCGACCTGGTTTTACCAACTGTTCTTGGGCATGTTTCAAATGATCACGTAACCTTTTCCTAAATCTAGAACTGCTGTAACTGGACTCAAACTGGACTGAGACTGGACCCAGTGTGTTTGACCGACACCAGCCCTGTCGCTGATGGACGGACACACAACAGCCGGGAAGGTTAAAGCCAGTCCAGACATTTCCGTCATGCTTCGGACGAGGTAGAGGGTTGGGTTTCAGGGACAATGAGGTGTGCAGTTCATGTTGGAGGCTTACATTTTCCTCAAGTTCCCTGAACGCATCATCGGCCTGCTTTACGTCAGTGCCTACTAAGTGGGACCTGTCGATCGGCTCTGAGAGGCCGTACTCGACCATAGCGTTTTCTGTGGCATTAATGGTTCTCAGGACCTCAGTGGTGAGGTCACAGAGGGCGGCGGCAGTCGATCTCTGAAAGCCATGTAGAGGGACAGATGTTAGCAGCTGGAAAACAACATCCCATCCTGCAGCAGCTACCGGGCTGGATGCCCCACAGCACCACAGCATTTCTTGTGTCTGACTTGTGTCTCTGGGAGGTCATGTTGTGATTAAAAAGGACTCTGCACATAAAAAAAAAACTTTCTACTTTTAAATGTGGTGCACACCTTTTGTTCCTAAAATGGTGGCGTGTGTTTCAGACAGACCTGACTACAGTGTTAAAAACTATGCTGCTGATTCCCCAGCTATGATTCAGAGGCAGACGAAGAGGTTTCCCAACACTCAGTGCTTTTACAGATTTCTCCTTCTGTTTGGTGTCACATGACTGAGCAGAGGTTTAGTTTTTAGGTGAACACCTGTACAGGTGAGGGGTCATGTGGTCCAGGCAGGTAGCTGCTGAGCTTCACAGTAACAGTAACCTAACAGACGGCTGTTAGTCAATGCAGGAGGCAGCAGGTTAGTGAGGACTAGTCCGTGATGCATCAGAAAGAGTTCTCCTCCATCAGGAGGTCACTGGACATCTAGTCTGTAGATGTGGGTTTACTAGGACAGGAACCACACCTCATTTCTCATTATTATTTTTTTGTCACAGATGGAATAAGAAAACCAATGAGAAGTTTAGAGAAACGTTCAGTATTTTCAGGAGTGGATGAGGACAAAAACATGAGAATGAACAAGAAACATGGTGTTCAGACCCGTTATAGATGGAGTAAAACAGCGTTTTTGGGGAGAAGCCAAGCCATGCTGTAGAAGCACTGAATGTATCACACGTGGGAACCTGGATGTTTATGAGACATCGGACAAAATAAAGAGTTAAAAAACCTTTTAGACTTTATTTTGTTCTTTGAAAACAATGTTAAAAATGAATTCGCCATTAAATGATTGTGCACTGATCCAAAAGTAAGCTTTTTATAACATCGGATCCACTGGTGGTCTGAGAAACCTCCAGGTTCCCATTCTCTGGATTTATGGGTTGGAATTCAATGAATTCTGTAAACAGTGGACTGAATCAGTCTTCCTACCTTTTGAGCCTCAGTGGGCATCTCATCACTGGATGAGCTCAGTTCTTTGTTCTTCCGGGAGTTCAGAGCGATTGCTGGGCCACCCTTCAGTCCGGCCAAACCTTTACCCACAGAAAAGGACTTCTTCCCAGCTTCGTCGTCCGATGACGGGCCCTTATCGCTCAGGTTCCCCGCCAGCTCACTAAGCTTCCTTCTCAGTTTCTCCTCCTCATTCTGAGCTGATGGATTTGATGCCTGCTGTAAAACAAAGTTACAGAATGTTTGTACTGACTGGTTTCAGGAAATGATCTCACATTATCCCACATCATCATCGCATCTCACCTCGTTTACACCAGGTGTAATCTTTTCCTCCAGGCGGCTCAGCAGACTCTCGATGGCCAACATTCGTTTGCTCAGTTCATTTATCTGCAATGTAAAATCAACATGAACACCAAGGAGATGATTTTGTATGACAAAAAGACTCCGTGTCAGTTACCAATATCTCCTGGTTCTTTATGGCTGAGATTATACGGACTGAAACTTTTTGTACAAAATACCATGAAGAAGAAAAAAAAAGGCAAAACATAGAATTAAAACAGGTTTTCCAAGAATCAAGAGAAGAAAATCCAATGTTTATGCCACCAAAATTTAACTTCAAGTGACTGGTTGATTGTCCTTACCGGCGGGGCTTGTCCCAGGTTCTCCTGGGAGGAGGTTCTACTGCCCCTTCGGCGGTGGGGTGGTTGTTGGTACATCTGCGGGTACCTCTGGTACTCCTCCTCGTCTGATGTGTCAACGTACTGCTGCCGAGCCACCGACGAGGTAATCTTGGACAGAGAGCGAGTCCGGACCATCCGATTCTCTCCGTTGTCATCTGATAACAAACACAGGTAAACATGGACACACAAAAACACCCAGGTGGATGCAGATCTACAAAGATGGACAGGTAGGTAAAAACATTCAGGTAAATGTACATGTTGGAAATAAAAAGCAGCATGTCGGACATCCAAAGTAGAAATTTTTTCTAAACCTGATAATAAGTAAAATTTGCAATTAGTTATCCAGTCTGACAGGCTTGTTTTGAAGGCATCTGTTTGATGTGATAAATCTGTGAAACAAAAGCTGTGATTCCTCCAACAGACAGCAGGTGGAGCCCCAGTGAAAACAGCTACAGGACAAACAGCATTTCCATTAATCCCCGCATTTCCATAGGGTTACTCCCAGAAGTTTTCTGTGGGAAGGTAAATCATGGTGGACAGATTCTGTGGGCCCCAGTAACCCCCATATAGACCACAGTGGTTTAAACAGTTTATTTTGTTGGACATGTGAAATTGGTTGTGTATTTTGGGACCGGCACCATGTTGCTGGAAGACTGGTATGCTGGTATACTGACCAGGTCTCATGGCATATCGGTCCAGGCTCTTCCTGCGGTTTCCTCTGTGGCTGTAATGGTCGTAGTCCACGTCATTCCTATAGTACCGATCATCCTGCTGCTGCTGTGAATCCAAAGTTACACACATGGTTTTAGATCTCTTCTGAATGTTTGCTTTTCATAACTTTGACTTACCTGTACAGACGGACGGCGTGAGTGAGGCAGATAATCCTCATTGTCAAAGTCCATAGGATGAACAGACAGCAGACGTTTGTTCTTCCTCATCTGAAAACACATCATGTTACGCCTGAATGTGGATTATTTCATAAAACAGATGTAGAATCACATCTTTATCACTTTTATGTTTATTACCACTTTGTAGCGCTGACCCTCGAATTCTCCTTGATCATCCTCATTGCCATTATACGCGTCTGAAAATGCAACATGTTTTGTCATTATTCTGTCCAGTTTTAGTTTTAGATGATGCTCCTTTTGAACCATTTGATTCCACAGCTAATTTTGAACAGTGCTTTATAAAAAACCAAATCATTATTAATGTGTACACATTTGTATGTATACCACATGGTTAATTATGGAGTTCCACAAGGTTCTTTACTAGGACCAAATCTATTCACAGTATACAGTGGGATGCAAAACTTTGGGCAACCTTGTTAATAGTCATTATTTTCCTGTATAAATCGTTGGTTGTTACAATAAAAATGTCAGTTAAACATATCATATAGGAGACACACACAGCGATATTTGAGAATTGAAATGAAGTTTATTGGATTTACAGAAAGTGTGCAATAATTGTTTAAACAAAACCAGGCAGGTGCATAAGTTTGGGCACCACAAAAAAAGAAATGAAATCAATATTTAGTAGATCCACCTTTTGCAGAAATTACAGCCTCTAAACGCTTCCTGCAGGTTCCAATAACATAAGATAAGATAACCTTTATTAGTCCCACGCGTGGGAAATTTGTTTTGTTACAGCAGTGGACAGTGCAAAGTTGCATAGAAAAATTAGAAGAAAAAAACACTGGAATAATATATCCATAAGATACTGTACACAATAGAATAGAAGAAAATAAATTAAAATAAAATACTATATACAATCGAATAAAATAGAATACAAATGCTATATACAATATGAGTATAATACAACGATGCCAGAAAGAGTATTGCACTTAGTGTTATTGCTATTGCACATGTGTGGATGTGTTTGATCAGTTGAAGTCTTTGTTGTGGAGTCTGACAGCAGTGGGGAGGAAAGACCTGTGAAATCTCTCCGTTCCACATCGGTGCTGCAGCCAGTGAAGGAGCTGCTCAGTGCTGTCAGAGTCTCATGCATGGGGTGGAAGATGTTGTCCAACAATCAGAGTCTGGATTGTGGTTGAAGGTATTTTGGACCATTCCTCTTTACAAAACATCTCTAGTTCATTCAGGTTTGATGGCATCCGAGCATGGACAGCTCTCTATAACTCACACCACAGGTTTTCAATAATATTCAGGTCTGGACTGAGATGGCCGTTCCAGAACGTTGTACTTGTTCCTCTGCATGAATGCCTTAGTGGATTTTGAGCAGTGTTTCGTTGTCTCATTGAAAGATCCAGCCCCGGCGCAGCTTCAGCTTTGTCACTGATTCCTGGACATTGGTCTCCAGAATCTGCTGATAGTGAGTGGAATCCATGTGTCCCTCAACTTTGACAAGATTCCCAGTCCCTGCACTGGCCACACAGCCCCACAGCATGATGGAACCACCACCATATGTTACTGTAGACAGCAGGTGTTTTTCTGGGAATGCTGTGCTCTTTTTCCTCCATGCATAACGGCCTTTGTTATGCCCAAATAACTCAGTTTTAGTTTCATCAGTCCACAGCACCTTATTCCAGAATGAAGCTGGCTTGTCCAAATGTGCTTTAGCAAACCTCAAGTGTCTTTGTTTGTGCTTTGGGCGGAGAAAAGGCTTCCTCTGCATCACTCTCACATACAGCATCTCCTTGTGTAAAGTGCGCCGAATGGTTGAACGATGCACAGTGACTCCATCTGCTGCAACATGATGTTGCAGGTCTTTGGTGCTGTTCTGTGGGTCGACTCTGACTGTTCTCACCGTTGCTTCTGTCTATCCGAGATTTTTTTTGGTCTGCCACTTTGAGCCTTAATTTGAACTGAGCCTGTGGTCTTCCATTGTCTCAATATGTTCCTAACTGTGGAGACAGACAGCTTAAATCTCTGAGGCAGCTTTCTGTATCCTTCCCCTAAACCATGATGGTGAACAATCTTTGTCTTCCGGTCATTTGTGAGTTGTTTTGAGACCCCCATGTTGCTACTCTTCAGAGAAAATTGAAAGATGAGGGAAACTTATAATTGACCCCCTTAAATACTCTTTCTCATTATTGGATTCACCTGTGTATGTAGGTCAGGGGTCACTGAGCTTACCGAGCCAATTTCAGTTACAATAATTAGTTCTACAGGTTTTGGAATCAATAAAATGACAACAGTGCCCAAATTTATGCACCTGCCTGATTTTGTTTAAACGATTATTGCACACTTGCTGTAAATCCAATAAACTTAATCTCACTTCTCAAATATCACTGTGTGTGTCTCCTATATGATATGTTTAACAGACATTTTTTTATTGTAACAACCAACTATTTATACAGGAAAATAATGACTATTAACAAGTTTGCCTAAACTTTTCAAATCAAATCAAATCACTTTTATTGTCACATCACATGTGCAGGTACATTGGT